CTATAGTAGTCGTTTATAGTTATTTACAGTTTAGTTATATGTAAAATTTATAGTTATTAGTTTAGTCATTAGATGTAGTCATTTTACAAACGACATATGTCGTATAATATTTATATTTACCTTCTAAAAATTTATCTAACAGGCCTGTCCATTTTTGCACCGAACTAGGGTCTGACGAGCTGTACCAAATTAACGATCTCTCCTCGGTGTTTTCGGAAATCGGCCGAAATCCTAAACCTGAATGAACAAAATGAAAATATTGTTACTCGTTATGTGACAACAGTATATAATAACGGGTAATAACAAATAGTTTAAATATTTTATTTTATCAATTTCGTTGACATATATTTCTTGTTGAAGATATACTTACTACTTCTGATTATCGTAGTCTATCGTTTGATTTTTACGGAAGTGACCAGCATGATATAAGATCTTTTATAAATTATTCGTTTATAGGTTTCTTTTATACAGATATTTCTGAATGATGGAAATAAAAAGATACATAAATTTACCTGGATTGGTTCCTATTATACTCTCCTCCAGAATCCACCTTGGTCTTTCATAATTTAGCGTAGCTAACAGTCCTTTCATGCAAATAGCAAAGAGCAAGGCCAGCACGCTGAAGAAGCAAGTATAGAATATTCCAGTGATCGCTGGAATAAAATGGAAAATAGATCTGTTAACCAAACGATCCGTCTGCATTTATTGAAGTCAATAAATTAACAAGAAAATCTCGAATTTTCCTGTTTCACTTTTATTCAAATGAATTTCAATATTTTGGTAGGAAATAATTATTCGGTGCGATAAACGCGACGAATACGATTATTTGGAATAATTTTAGCTTTCCATTTTGCGTAACACAACCTCAGTTCGTATATGCTAATTATAAAAATATATACGGCCACGAAAATTTTCACCATTTCAACGATTGAAAGGAAAGTATTTAAAGACGTGGGCACCGTGCCAAAGTCCGGTCTATATATAGATACTTTTTTAAAGAGCAATATACACTATGATGGTTACTTCTGCTTCTCGTTCGCAAACAATATTTCAACGGATTTTCGATATAATATTTTGACTATAATAATGATTATAAAAAAAACATAAACTTTGGTACTGTAAAATTTTCATTTTACACATGTTTATTAACACTAGGTTTACCATGAGTACTTTGATATACACCTATTTCTACCAAGAAGGTAAAAATGGCCCCTATCGGTATTTAATTAGAAAAGAATATAAATTGACCTATCTATCATGAAGTTAAAGTAGAAAAAACGAACCTCAATAAAATTACATCAGTTATAGTAATTAGTTTTTATTAATTTTTCTTTATTTTTGATATTTTAGCGTGAAGCATTTTTTACAAATTGCAATTTTTTTTCTCCGTACATATACCACAAACCGTATCTTTTGCAACTGTCACAGGTAACTTGAGTTTTATTTTCATTGCAAAGGCCTATCTTTTTCTTCTACCGAAACTCTCAACTGCATCCACCAATAACTCATTCAAATTTTCTGATTCAGATGAAACCTGTGCAATTAGCAGCAAGTTCTTCTGCTAACTGGAACAAATAATTATAACTTCCTGGATATATTTTCACCAGTGGTTTCTTTATATAATAACCACGAATTGACCGCCCAGTCAAATCTAGGACATTGAAGAAGATTTGCAGGGGCCATCTTTAAGATGACGATTTTACAGTATATTTTCGAGTTTCATTTGGTCTGTCATGTCAACACCGTACTTTGGTGTTATTATAATATGCTATTGATTCGGGTAATATTT